GATCTTTTGCCTTTGATTTCCATGGGAAAACGGCATGATTTTTTTTTTAAATCAAGAAATTATTTGTTTTCGAAAGATAAATTATTCTTCAATGCTCAGTTTAACACTTTTACGGTGATAAAAGCTCATTGTCTAAAACTTACGAAACACAGACGTATTCAGAAAGAGTATTGACAGAGGTCGCCGCCAGAACAAAAGCAGTTTCATTGCCTGTCTGACATCTTATCACCGCTGAACAATAAATAGGTGTGAATATTTTTAGGCATGTTGTCGAAACAAATGAATAGGATTAGGAACAATGCCGTTTTGGAACAGCTGGTTGAAACAATGAAGTCAGTCACGGTCTTGTTGAATTGGGGGTGCGGTTAGTAATAGGTACTTTTCAAGTTTTCAATTTTTGTTAAGAACTCTTTAACCCCGAAGCCGGAATTGGGGGTGCGGTTACTATTACGTATGCGGTTTATATTAGGACTTTAACGGTACTTGATGTAATATATCACAATACACTATCCCAGTGTCAACAATACCTGGTCCAACAAAAGCAACTGACAATAACCTTGAGGTTAATATGATGTTGTACTGTGGAATACTTTATTTTCGCTGGAATTAATTTTCGCTGAAAAGGCTTTTTGGGTGTTTTGTATGGAATTTATTTTCACTGATTTTTGATGAGCTTAATGTGAAATATAGGAAAAAATGTATATTCGCTGGATTTTATTTTCACGGAATCATCCCTTCAACGAAAATAGCGAAAATAAATTCCAAGTGAAAATAAAGTATTCTACAGTATTCGTTAGTGACTGAAACTCAGAATGTGGGCTTTGGGGTCAGTCCTTTGAGTCAGTGGTGCACTCACACACGTTTCTGTAGGCTTTGCCTCTCTCCATTGAGTCTGCGACACACTCATCCATGAAACATTGTTTTTACTGCAGATTCAGAATTATTAATAAATTTGACCATACATACTTACTTTACATTAGCATTTTCGTTGTGAAGCAACGCTTTGGCTTGATTCTCACTAAAATTGAAAAACAAGCATACTTAATAGGTATAATTATGTACATAGCTATGCAGAAAATATTGGACCAGAGTATGTAAATTTATAAATGTGATCTCAATATTGAATACATTGTACCTTATAATGGAAGCTTTGACTGTCGGTGGACTCATATGGACACTCAGTTTACCTCCAACAAGTAGTCTGCAATATAGAAATGAACATTGATTGAAATCAATAAATTAGGAATGGAAATCTACAAATCGGGAATGGAAATCATCAAATCAGGAATGGAAATCTACAAATCAGGAATGGAAATCTACAAATCGGGAATGGAAATCAACAAATCAGGAATGGAAATCAACAAATCAGGAATGGAAATCAACAAATCAGTAAAGGAAATCAAATCAGGAACGGAAATCAACAAATTGATTGAAATCGATTGATTGAAATCAATAAATTAGGAATGAAAATCTACAAATCGGGAATGGAAATCAACAAATCAGGAATGGAAATCAACAAATCAGGAATGGAAATCTACAAATCGGGAATGTAAATCAACAAATCAGGAATGGAAATAAACAAATCAGGAATGGAAATCAACAAATCAGGAATGGAAATCAACAAATCAGGAATGGAAATCAACAAATCAGGAACGGAAATCAACAAATCAGAAACGGAAATCAACAAATCAGGAATGGAAATCTACAAATCAGGAATGGAAATCAACAAATCAGGAACGGAAATCAACAAATCAGGAATGGAAATCTACAAATCGGGAATGTAAATCAACAAATCAGGAATGGAAATCAACAAATCAGGAATGGAAATCAACAAATCAGGAATCAAAAATCAATATAATACATCTATATATAATAACACTCTTCCCATAGGTTTCTATGGCAGAGATATTATGCCATATCTCACACACTGTAGTCTGGTGATATATTGTGAATGGTGGGATACTTGTTGTTTTCCTGTATTATTTAAAAAATATGGATTTTAAAAAGTGTCAAAGATGCAGTTTTTCTTTTGTGTGTTACAGTGATGTATTCTGAAAAACTGTTCTGATATTTTTCAAAAATCACTATTTTTAGAACAATTCAATAGAACACACTGTCAGGGATTTACGTAATAAACTAATGAGCATTGTCATATGATTTTTTACCAATTTTCCCCAAAATCTTGAGTAGGCTAACTAAAGCCAAGGCATTTATTATATGAAATTACAATAACTGTAAATGGATTTAATTTCACAAGAGACAATTTTGGCGAATTTGTGAGTCAGTGAGAATTGTGAAATTTGTAGCAGCGTATACTTCTCTGGGGTTCTTCAGTGACTTTGGTGAAATTTTGTCTTTAACGAATGCCATCAAATTCTCAAATCATGAAAATTAGATATACCTGATTCTGCCGTAAATTCGCGCATTCGAAAAATCACCCAATATTTTTCAGGGACTTATATACTTTCAACGCCGGCAGTTGGACCACCCAAAACGAAAGAATTTACATTTATAAATACATTTTTTTTTTGCTGGATTAAAAAGTAGACTGTCTTAAATTTCATTACAATAACACCCAGCGCATCTTTCTCCAAAAAATATCACATTAATGAACCTTGTGCAGCAAATACAATTATTTTTGTCATTTTATTAGTAACGAAAGTATATTCCGAAAAAGAAGTTTCAAATAAAAACAAACACAACTGCATTGCTTAGTAGCAAATGATCGCGGTAACGCAGTCCAGGTCATGCTGCGTAGAAATGAATATCCGCCATGTTTTGACCTGGAACGGTTTTCTTTGACCTAACAAGTCAAATTGCTAATGAACCAATCAAAATGATGATTGATGCCAACGTGTAGCTCATTTAAATATGTTAATGTTATTGACACAACACAGAAGAGACTTGCCGATGTTGTAGTACGATTTTTTTGCATGGATTTTGATGGAAAACGGCATGATTTTTTTTTAAATTAAAAAAATTTATTGTTTTTAAAAGATAAACTGGGCATTTGAAGAATAAGTTAACATTGTTTACAGTGATAACAGATCATTATCGAAACGATGCTTAAACATTCACACTATGCAATGCAATGAACATCATACTCTTGAATAGGCATCGATGACTACGGTGAAACTTTTAGGCAACACCTTTAAAAACTGTTGAAAAATCGCCCTTTCTTGATTTCTTGATCCTATTTTATTTTGTTAAAAAACCCAAACTGCCGTTTAACGACCCAGGGCAATTTACGACAGAATCCAGAAATATCTGTGTGACGTTTGCGGGACTACATTATTACAAGCGCCAGAATACATACTTTTGCAATGGTGTTATACATGTATGTCACCTGATCACCCAAGTGTATTGATATGTAAAAAGTTGTGCCGTTGGTGCAACTGAAAATGGTTAAATTTTAAAGTTAAATTTGGTTTCTTTGAGGTTTTGTGTGTTCACAATCTGGTTCCAATCTTTAAATACATCTTTAAAGTTTTATGAAACTAAATATTGAATTAACATTTTCATGTTGTGAATCACAATGAGAAATAGTGGAGGAATAGACAGTAAGTTCTGTGTAACCATTTCATAAATGGAACCATTTCTGATACTAAAATTGGGGTGCTTCTCTAATATTAAGGTTTCAGGGCTATGGGGAATTCTGACATAACACTTACCTAACACCGGCACTAAATTTTGTATCTTTTTTCAAAACTTGTGGAGGCTGTTTGTCAATTATAAATGTGCTGAAAGAAAAATATTACATTTTACAATAACAATAATTTATAAATTATGAAAACAAACATTTTCAGTTGTTGAGAAACTAACTAAACAGTTAGTCAGTAGTAAACAGTCAGTCAATAGTGAACAGTCAGTCAATAGTAAACAGTCAGTCAATAGTAAACAGTCAGTCAATAGTAAACAGTCAGTCAATAGTAAACAGACCATACTAAACAGTCAGTCAATAGTAAACAGTCAGTCAATAGTAAACAGACCATACTAAACAGTCAGTCAATAGTAAACAGTCAATGAATAGTAAACAGTCAGTCAATAGTAAACAGTCAATGAATAGTAAACAGTCAATAGGAAACAGTCAATGGATAGTAAACAGTCAGTCAATAGTAAACCGTCAGTCAATAGTGAACAGACCATACTAAACAGTCAGTCAATAGTAAACAGTCAGTCAATAGTAAACAGTCAGTCAATAGTAAACAGTCAGTCAATAGTAAACAGTCAATAAATAGTAAACAGTCAGTCAATAGTAAACAGTCAGTCAATAGTAAACAGTCAATGAATAGTAAACAGTCAGTCAATAGTAAACAGACCATACTAAACAGTCAGTCAATAGTAAACAGTCAGTAAATAGTAAACAGTCAATGAATAGTAAACAGTCAGTCAATAGTAAACAGACCATACTAAACAGTCAGTCAATAGTAAACAGTCAGTCAATAGTAAACAGTCAGTCAATAGTAAACAGTCTATCAATAGTAAACAGACCATACTAAACAGTCAGTCAATAGTAAACAGTCAGTAAATAGTAAACAGTCAATGAATAGTAAACAGTCAGTCAATAGTAAACAGACCATACTAAACAGTCAGTCAATAGTAGACAGTCAGTCAATAGTAAACAGTCAGTCAATAGTAAACAGTCAGTCAATAGTAAACAGTCAGTCAATAGTAAACAGTCAGTCAATAGTAAACAGTCAGTCAATAGTAAACAGTCAGTCAATAGTAAACAGTCAGTCAATAGTAAACAGTCAGTCAATAGTAAACAGTCAATAGTAAACAGTCAGTCAATAGCTAACAGTCAGTAAATAGTAAACAGTCAGTCAACAGTATATAAATCAGCCATGAGTGAATAGGTCAATCAATAGTAAACAAGTGACCTGACAGTCTAAATAGCTCAGCTGTTTCAGCAGAGCACAGTCTAGCAATAATTAGTGCATTTACAATTGCAACAGCAGTCAACAGTAAACTGTCAATAGTAAACAGTTTTATTCATCAAAATTCACAATATGGATAATAAGCTAAAAATTAAAATTTGAATTTTAGTATAATTTGAACTGAAATCAATCCAATTGGCTTATTACCTTGTTACAAGTGTGGATAACAGTGAGGTTATAGTGTTGTGTAGTTGTGGCAGGAGGTCGGATCCTGGACATTTCATTGGTAACTGTTGCCGAAGTAAATCTATATTTTTTATCTGCTGTCTATTTTGCCATATCAAATCTGCTAAGTTTTCACACCTAGAAAACAAAAACAATTTAACAGTTATCCTGAAAACAGGATTAATTCTTTATTTAAAATTTCAAAGACACATCGTACATTAAGAATGTTGCCTAGATACCATATTGGTGACTTTTCAACAATTCTTAATTTGAAGAATATTTTGTGGTGGAACAATCTTAAATATTACAGGCAACTCATCTAGAACTATGTTATTTTTTATCATTAACAATTCAACATTGCTCAATTACCCCAAATTTTAAAAGCGCAACTGAGTACCATAGAATCTCTTTTTCTACATAAATGAGTAATTTAATCGTAAAGAATAGGTCACCAATAGGTTTCCATGGAAAAAATGGTGTTTAATTCTATGCTCAGCAAGTACATTAGGGACGACGTCAAAAGATCGATGTCGGATAAAAAACTTATTTCCTTTAGTTTGGGAGTGGGGGGTTTTGACCTCAAAAAGTTTCCATCCTACAAAAACGATTTTATTTTTTAATGAAGTCAAAAAAATCTTGGAGTATTTGTAGTTGTTGTTTTTTTCTATCCAATCATGGACAGAAATAACCGAAAAGGGAAAAAAACAGAAAAATGGTTTGGTTTGAGTGTAAATCTGTGCGTCAAATGAGGTGCATTTGTAAAATCTTTTTACACCCAATCGACAACCAACTGCTATGCCATACTACTGTCCGATTATCAATTTGTATTTAATGGTGAATGTAGTCTGACGCCATGACCGATATTTATCAATTAAGTTTCAGTGGGGGGTAAAGGGGTTTGGAAAAAAACTAAAAGAATTAAGTTTTTTATCCGACATCGATATTTTGACGTCATCCCTTAATGGTTTAATGACCACTTAATCATACTAACCAGACAAGCAACAACTGACTGTTCATAAACTGAAATCATAACAGTCTGTTACCACAATAATCCCACTCAAACTCACCACTGTTGAATCTGTTCCAAACTGCCTTCTGGTGGTCCACCAATACTGGCAAGCTGCTGTCTTCTCTTCCACTGTACCAATTGGTCTTCTAAAGTTTGGTTCAACAAATCCTCTAATATTTTAAATGTTTGTTGGTGTTTTTCAGCCAGGTCCTGGTTAAATTAATAAAATTACATCAAGTAAATGCGAGAGTATATAGTAAAACAATTCATGAAATAAGCAGAGACAGAAAATGGTCAGGGCATCAGCAAGCAATTTCAATGAATTATCATCATCTTCATAGTTTGATGATCTTGTTCATTTTCAAAACGAAGCTGTGTAATCTGACATCTTAATAATTTTTGATGAGTCAGAAACAGTCTAGTTATTGCTTTCTAACAGCATTAATTAAAACAAAATAGCCAATTCTAATCATATAGTCAAACCAATACATTATGTATAATGAATACATCAAATTTGAACATAATCAGTAAAAGCATGTCAGTACAGCATTCATAAAAACAAAATGGCCACCAATCAGGCATTCTGAATCCGAT